GGAACACTCAAGGGACAAAGTTAGAAACTAAAACCACCAGAATTACAACAATGTCAAGAGACAAATGTCTTCAAGAGAAATACAGCAACGCAGACAAGACTTCTCAGTAATATACATACTGAATGGTGGAATAATAAACTGCAACCCTAGTTAGGAGCATAATGTCTGAATAGTCTGAACACACAGCGGACAAAAAAAAACAAAACAAAACAAAAAAAATCCCACCCCAAAACAGACAAACAAACAAACAAACAAGGCAGGTATTTCAAACTGTCCAGAATTTAAAGTAATCCTTCCACCAGCTTAACGGCAAAAGGCACAGTTAAACTACAGAAGTTCAACGGTACCACTGACATCACCCATTTTACTAGAAGCTGCTTTCAAGTTGGTAGTATTCCCCTTGTTTGTTTAATGGATCAAGTAGAGACCAGCTGTTCAGCCTATGCTACAGTTCAAATCAAATCAAGGTATTAGATTTTACTTCAACAGGAAACATGGGAGAAAAAATGTACTGGGGAACCTAGATAAACACAAAAAGTCTGATTTTATTTCCTTATACAATTGCAGACAGAACACGGAATATCAGGCACTCTTGAGGAGATGAGTTGTTCTGAAAGAGAATTATAATTTCATGCTGCATGTGAAGACAGAATGAACCTTAAAGCCAGCATTCTAGAAAGTCGACAGACATCTGCCACTGAAAGAATTATTTAAGTGTAATGCTGTGGGATACAGAGAATGCCTTTAAACCACTGACTGTAGAAACGCATATTGCACAACTAAACATCCATAATGGGAGAAAGTTTAGTTTTCTATCAACAACTAACCAGATCAGGAATGGTACTAATAATAGAATGATACAGTACTAAGGAAAATAATTTTTTTTTTAATTTAATTAAATCAATGGAGAAGTGAGAATTAATCTGATTTTCAGAGAAACAATGTATGCATTAGAAACTCAGCCAGTCTCAAGAGCAGCACCGAATGCATTTAAGAGGCTAACAAATGGACACCTATATTTCGAAAAGCAAGATGCTCATTCCACACTATTATGCAAAGGAGAGATCTTCTGACTCTGGAGAACAGTAACAAAATGCTGGAGTACACCTATCATACTTCTCCATCACAATAAGGTAGAATGTTCTTCAGGTGCTTACCCCAAACAAGGTGAAATTCCTTTCAGAAATGTTTTCTTGGTTAAACTCTCTCACTCAGATATCCAAGGCCTCTAGCCACAAAAAGACCACAGAAACAGATCAAAGTAAAAAGATGTTTTTAGCAGTACTACATTATTTCAGCTGAAACATAAATTGGATCTTAAACACAGATCAGTCAAATATGGGAAATTTCAATGCAGGGTGTCAGACATCAAATTTGCACTGCACTACTTATTCTAACAGACAATCACCTTGGTATAAGCAAATTTCAACATGGAGGAGTTCCTTTGTTCTCAAGCTCCACAGAGTCCATGTCCAATTCTTAGGGAAATTATTTCTATCGAAATACAAAAAATACCCACTGTCTTTCCTTCCCTCTTCTGGCTTCTAAGGAAGAGGTTTCCAAGGAAACCTTAAACCACACACACTAAAAAAATAATAAATATTACTTTTCAACTCAAAAAAAAACATAGTTCCTACTAAAGCATGCTGAGGAGAGGGATACCATGCCAAAACCAAGCTCCTATTCATTGGCACCATCAATTCCTCCTTGGATATTATGCAGGGGTTTGTTAACCTTCGAGAAATCACTTGCACTGTCCTTTTAGCTTCTTGCAAAGTATAACTCGGAAACTAATCCACACAGCACTGAAATCTATTGTATTTTTCCAAGAACCTATGTTAATTACAGGAATACTTTCCATGTTTAGTTTTGAGCTTTTCAAAATAAGATGACAGTAACATTCCCCATTTATGAAAAGAAAGTATTTTCTGGCTCTTCAAGATCAGTAACAGAAAATGAAAATAAAGGAGCATATGCTACACCCCACAGCTGTAGTATTTGCTCAGAGTAGCTGAGGAATGAAGCTGTGCTGCACCACAGCTGGTGAATATACCACAACTCAGCAAGTCTAAAGCACTATCAATCCAAGCGAAAGCTGTATGGGGGCATGTGCATGATATTGTCAGTATTATATCCAAAATATCCCTGCTACCCCTGGCCTAAGACGACAACCAAAGAGAGATGTAATTGCTTCAGGACAGGTAGCATGCTCTTTAGTCTCCTCTGATCTTCACTGGATCCAGAAAACTTCTTGGAAACCAGTAAGCAATATGTCAATAATTGTGATTTATTTACACACATTCTTAAGAAATGGGAAAGAAAACCCAGACACCCGAGCATTTTTCACAAGAGGCTGTGGTAGCAATCAATCAGAGGTCACATCTTCACATATTTTTTAACAATTTTTAACAACTTTTAACAATCTTTTAACAGCTTCCAAAATCAAGAGGCAATTTAATCATTCAAAGTTGAGGTGACAAGAACAGCAATAAAAAACAAAACCAAAAACAAACAATCAGGGACAATGAAGTGTGCAGAGGAATAAAGAGCCAAGACCACAGCAAACAGATTGAGATAACTACCAGATAACAGCGTGAGTCAGCCAGCATCTTGACTCCATGAGTTGAGTCAATTTTTAACAATGCATTTGGCCTTAGCTAAATTTAATACAAAGCACAAGTTCTGCACATGTGGGAAGTCTTTATTAAAAGTGATTTGCTAAAATACTTGGTTTTAGATCTAAAACATAAGTTCCTGCAATTATACTGGAACTCATTTTATGGGGAGGCTGGAAGGATAATGAAGAGATTTTTCTGGTCCCCAAACAGATCAGAGAAATCCCTTGTTCAGTCTCTAAACAGAGAAGTCTGTTTAATTACAGCAAATCCTATTAAACTGATCTTCCTTATAAAGGGCTGAAGTGACCAACTCCAAAAGGCTACAAAAGACACAATGGATTCAGAATTTAATTAGGACATACTGTTAGCTAGCTATAATCTATTAATTAGCATTCTTAGTTTTTACAGCTCACTGCAATAATACCCTTTTCCTTTTAAATTGCACCCTTCTTTTTTGGGCCAAAGTTATACAATTCTACCAGTGTGGTAGTAATTACAGTGATTGCTTAGAGAACAGCAGCCTGGAAATATCTGTAAATGTTTAATTAGGGGATAAAGGAAAGACAAGGAAAAAAAGAAATCAGATAGAGGAATCACTGTTCTCCAATCTATGTGTTCCATAACCACTTAATCCATTCTAAACCATACATTCATTGCATTTTTCTTGCAAGATTTCCACAGCATCCTAAAATGTCAAAACTGATTTCAGAATGTTACTATAGTCTAAGATATTACATTTGGCATGAAAACAGAACCTAAAAATGAAAAAAACCTTGAGAATTAAAATACTGACCTGCAGCTGAAATACAACGAGTATCCGAAACTTGAGTGAATGATGTTTCATGTATTCATTATACTGGTACTATACCATTATAACTAAAATTTTCACCAGATTACTCCCTCTGACAAAATCCTACTTTCATAATAAAAGTATTTAGCTTTAGGTTTTCTTCACTCCAAGAAGATACATGCAAATGAGTGCAAAATATCACACATATTAACAAATAAATTCTCTATTGTGATACTTACCATTCAGTAAGAATACAACTATAAAATGACACAAGTTTATTAAATTATTTCATACTAACTCAAGAAAAGCAACTAACTTTCTTCAACTCAGTTCTTTAAGATGTGAAAAGAAAATCACAGACAGCTTCAGTGTAGCAGATTATCACTAACCAAAAGGAATCTACTATTTAAGAGGTCACCTGAAAGTAGAGTGTAACATGTCAAGTACTACCACTGCTGTTTTTGCCCTCCAGCAGTTTCCCTCTTCCACCTTTTAGAGCAAATCTTGAAAAAGTGCTGCCTAAAATAGCAAGTATACCTTAAGAGCTTCAAGAACATGATCATGCTTGAACTATGGAAACTATTTAATTAAACTTTTTTAGATATTTAAAAACCTCAAGAGGGAAAGTAATTTTATCACAGTGAAAGCTGACTTAATTTCAGGAAACTTTGGAGTTGGACTCTGAGCCTGCATAATGTCAACTGAGTGATGAGGTTTCTTACTGGAGAGTCCAGAGAGATGACTAACTCACATTTGTTGAGAAACAACTAAACAGGAGGACACTAACTCGGGAGACAACTAGTTACTTCCAGATTAAACTAGCAAAACATTCTAGGTGGGAAACATTTTTAAAAAGCTTTTAATAAATACAGCTGAGTACAAAGAGACCTCAATTTTAATCTACCTCTCAGAATTATTCTAATTTAGGGATGCTTTTAAGAGGGACAAAAGAAGTAGACAGCCAAGATCCTCTGATCTTTTGCCTATTCCCTAAGTAGCCAGACCACTACAAAAAAAAAAAAAAAGGGTAGGGTGCTTTATGATAGTTGCATAACAAGAATCGCACAGCCTGTGACAAAAGATCAGATGTACAGGTATTAAACAGTGTTACTTAAGTATAGCCAAGAACACAATTTATATTTGTTTGTGAAAACTGAAGCTCTGTAGGTTTTAACTGGAGTTCTAAAAGACCAGTGTAATGTGAACTTTGTTTTACTGGCAATCTGTCAACATTCAGCAACAGTTCAGTTGTATTTGGGGTCAATGCTCCAAGGAACGCTGCAAGAGGTAAGCACTATAGAAATATTAATTATGAGCAGGGTAAAATACATCCAAAAGTAAACTGAGTGGTTAGCATCAATTCTAGGAAAAATAACACAACACACAGGAGAACTGAGTGCTCAAGAAGTGGCTTGCAAGTCTGATAAGAAACATTTAAAAAGAGGCCTGTAAGCTGAACATGCATCTTATTCATACGAACTACCTGAGAAAAGCACCAGTATAACTCAGCTGCTTAAATATGACATGCAAGTTAATTGAACTTATGCAATCATGCCACTGCATTAACACAACAGTGACATTAGATGACAAACCTGGTTTTCTTCTTGCAAAACTCTATATTGCTCCTTCCAAATGGTGATTTTTGAAGCTTCATCTTTCCTCAGAGCTCTCTCCTTCTTTAGCTCAGGACTCCAGAAGGTCTTGATACTGTTCATGGAAGAACTGAGCTTGCTTTCTTTCACCTCCACATCCTTGCGAAGCAGATCATTTTCCCTTAGTACTTCTTTGAGTTGTGTCTGCAGATCCATTATTGTGTTATCCCTGGCCTGGCGCAGTGAGTGAGGCACAGTGGATGCCATACTCACTGGAGGGAGATGGTGGTCTCCAAATGCAATAGTATCACTGGCAACTCCACTACTGGCAATGTTAGGGCTGCTACCCATTGCAGTCATCCTAACTCCATAAGGCAGCCGCCCCCCAGACCGGCCCAAAGTCATGGTGCTTTTTGGGGTGTCTGCACCCACGTTCTCATGGTCACTTAGATACATAGGGCCAGATGTAGCATAGGCAGCATTTAAGGACTGAATATTTTCCATTGAAAGGGTTTTCCCACTGCCACCCCCAGTACTACTCCCAGAACTGCCTCCTGTGCTGTTGGTTCGACGATGGCCCAAGCGTGGTGACCGTGGCAGCCTTGGTGAACGCCCTGGACTCTGGTTGCTTGGCTCAACCTTACCAACTGACCGAGCACTTCCATACATGATTAAGCTGGTGGTGTGAGGCAATTATATAGGCATAAATCAGGAATGAGAGAAATCCTGTTAATTTGTTCAACAGTTAAAAGTCAGCTTAAGGCCAATCACAACTTATAAAAGATCCAGTCGTCCATCTTTGAAGTCACGTGCTCACGATGTTCAGAACCATATCTGTATCAAAAAGAATAACATATTAAAATCTGTATCAATAAAAAATAACTTAGTAAATGCCTAGTTTATCACCAAATATTTTGTCCCAGATTAGCATAAAGTGTGTTCTACTACCTTTACACTTCTCCACCATCTTTTCAATTCCTACACACAAAAAAATTAAAATTTAAATAAAAATTGCTTATTTAAACACAAAAAGGAACTTCTATTCTTGCTTTTCTGTTGTTATATTATCACAATAAAGAGAAAGAGGAAAAAAAATTCAACCCATAACTTTTTATCTACAGAAGTTAACTTATTTTCTTGTTTCTAACTGGCCCTAGTTCTTTACCTATTATCTTTCCGAGCAGAAGAGATAATCAAAATGTAAAGCCCATTCAGTAGTACTTTTTTATCTTTTCAGCACTCCTAGGTTCTATATGACATGGTTTCTAAACCCTGCTGCTGGGAAAACAATCTTGCAAATGGGAAGGTAGAAAGACGAAATGATTCTGATCATGACCTTGACTAGCAGGTCCCTTTGGTGTTCCTGTCAGCCCTCCTTCAAAGTCAGAACGAAAACCAAGAAACATCATGAAATCATTACTGACCACAAAGCTTAAGCAGCTGTAAATACAACTCTGAAAGAACAGCAATAACACACCAAATGTGACCAATTTGGTTAAGAGGAACAAAAGAATCACACCTGCACAGAAAACTGGTTCAAGTGTCTTATTTTCTCTCAAACTGGGATTTGGTCCAAAACAAAAATCTTTGTTAAGGTCAAGCAAAGATTTCAATCCAAATATGCTTCTTATTAACCAGCTCAGATTAATTCCATTAAATAATATAATTCCAAAAGCAGTAACCTCTTAAGAAAACAGAACAGTACCATATCATCATAGTGCAGTTCCTCCTCCCCTCTACTTCTTTAAACAAGAACTCTGATAGCACACACAATAAAATTCCACGGTTTTGCGCTGTTAACATTATGCTGTTCTGTAAGTGCTAGCAGGTAACTCTTCAGGGGCACTGGGCTGAGACCAGTGTTAGTAGCCAAGATCACACAGAGGAGCAAGAAACAGATGAAATCCACTCTTGTGACTGAACAACTGTAATTTAGAACTACTCCTATTACAGAGTTCTCACTTTTTTTCCCCCGTTTCTTTCAGTGTACACTATTTCAAGCCACTGTTGGGCTCAACTGAAATGAAAACTAGAACACTGAAACATTCCTGATCTGACCTCTCCCCATCAGATGAAAAGAGTACAGATAATGTCCAAAGAGCAGCAGCATCTTACATATTCCAGTATCTTTCCTTTCACACCAGCTTTCATTTAGCTTCACCTTCTGCTTGGAAGTAAGGTTTTCCAGATATTAGGAATCAATTTTTCCAAACCCTATGGCATATTTGTGAGATAATAATTGGGCAAGAAGATGTAAGATTAGTCTCAAAAGAAGAATACACTTACAAAAGAAACTGTAAAAATAGTACAAGTGGGTGGAGGGGAAGAGACCAAAAAATTAACATTGCAAAGAAGACTGAAAAAGGATAGAAAGAAAAAAGTAAAAGCTTGATAAAGAAAAGATACATTTTTTTTTTCCTTTCAGAAACAAGTTAGTACAGGAAAAGATACAACAAAAAAATAGTTTTTAAATGTTTATTTTAACCATGAGTTTTAAATGGAAAACAAGATCAGAGTGAGCCAGCATCTTGTCATTTTTGCACTATTTCATAGTAGATACAATATCATAAGTAATTTCACAAAGCTTATGGAAGCTGATTGCGTTTTGTGAGCAGTCCTCAAGAAGTTCAAGCGCTCTCTCTCTCTTACTCTCACTTTCTCTGTTTTTTTTTAATGACAACCAAAGCTAGCAACAATATTGCTATGGAATATTTGAAAACACATATGTAAAGGAAAAAAGGCCAAGGAAAGATAGCCAGCAGCATTAATAATTGAAATTAGCTACCAAAACACCACCTACAGATAATTTCTAAAATACAAGTTACAGATAAAATCTCTCTTCTATTTCAGCTTACGCAAAACCAGTACAAAATATAAACTATGTAACAAAGCCTACAGTGTTCTACTGGAGTTGCTTCAATAAGCAAGACACTGTGCCACAGATCTGGAAGAAAAACACTTCTTACAAACAGAAAAGCTATCTCAGACTAATGAGATACCAAAATGCTAAAAATGCTGCTGTGACACCACTTGAGCACTCAAAACAAGTTAGATATGATTTCTTAGACACTACATAAAGTACATTCAAGAGAGATCTTGCAGTCACAATTAATCTAACTCACAGCACTTAATTTCTTTGCTAGAAACTCACCACAGTAAATCAGTGCAAACATGCATTCACTTAAGAGATTCATACAAGTTAACCAGAAGATTAGACATGTTTTATTCTTTGTGTTTTAAAGTACTTTCTCCCAAAAACATTAAGTTTAAATGTTGCTAGAAGTATATTACTGTTGCATGCAGGAATATCACCTAGTAAAGTACTTAATAACATACAAGAAGCCCCCAAAAAGATTTTAGATTCTTACAAGTTAATCACACCCAAAACGGAAAGCTCATGGAATTGCTTTTGTAAACATTTTGTTAAACTGTTAATAGCTTTTCAAAAAATGAAAGTGACTGATGTCCTTGACCAAAAAGTAGTTTCCCAGGCAGCTGAAAGGAGCTGGTACCACAGCAGGCACTGGTGCAGTAGCCATCTTCTAATACACCAGCAGGCAGGTTAGCTCTCATCCACCTTCAGTGGAAACAGCAATCCTATGCTTGCTTATGCAGCTCTAAGCTTTGTTCCACAGGTAGGCACTGAAACCTCTGTTATTCCAGAAAAAAAAAAAATCAAATAATTCAAGCTACAAAAGCCAGCTGCTAAAATTAGCTGTTTATTAGGGTTACAGAAAGGATTCCTGGAGCCAGCATATGTAAAACTCAGACAGAACTCTGACATCGCTGACACTGTCGCCACACATTACTCTGCATTCACTTCTCAAAAGCAAAACCAAACAAAAGCATTAGATTAAGAGAAGAAAGTCTCTGGAAACAAGCAAACATAACCCTCCAGTATTTTTCTTGAGATGAGAACTTTGATTACATCATTGTTAGACTTTAAAAATTGGGAATATTCTGAATATTAACTAAATACACCTTTCCAACCATGGAACTAGTTTCAGTATTTCCACTGACATAGAGATTTGTCAAGAAAGAAAACAGACAAACAAACAAAAAACCCAATATGTTACAAGATAAATCTAAACTCTTCCCTCCTCCTTCCCACTTTTTTTTCTTCTAATAGCATTTATCACCAGCCATTTCACTTTGTTGCTATTAGGAATCCATAAGCAGAAGTAGATATTAAGACAATCCACACTAGGAAAAACATTTTTTTATCCTGGAAACAGCAAAGTGAAGGAAGTGGCGGAAACATCTTTTCTCATTCATAATACAAATTAATCAGGAAGAAGAAAAAAACTTCCAGTTACCCTCCAGCAATCCAAGCAAAATTACATGGAATATTTCTTTCAGACAGCAACATAACAGAAAAGTTACAAGTTTTTCAACATTCTGCACCAGACTAGTGTTGTACTAGGAATTTCAGAAGTAGAATCTTATCTTCCATGAGGACAACATGTAGTCCTGTTACTTTTTTTCCTCTTCTACTGTGATTCTAAATATAGTCACAAATAAACCATCCTTTAACCTTAAAGACGGTGGTAACCACAAGGAACATTGTCCAACTGTGACATGAATGTATTGACCACTTTTCCTGCAGGTTTCAAAACCCTTTAGTGTTTTCTGCCAGGGCAGGACCCCTTACTTAAGTTTATAAAGAAAGAAACTATAAACTGCAAGTGTTTAAAAAAAACAAAACCACTGAAGTCAGTGCTAAACCATTTTTCCCCAAGGTCGCTTGCATACCTTTACATTTGTGAAACAAAACTTTCTTGTTCTCTGTTCACTAAGAGAACACAAACTTCCAAAGAGCATCCTATCTGCAAGCCGAATAAAAAACCAACAATCCAACAAATCAATGTCAGCCGAAGTAAAAACTTCATGTAAATATCCAGAGACTTCCATAGCAGCTTTGCAAGTACAGAGACACACGATCTACCTGCTTCACTAGTTGAAAATGCTATCTATAGATTATGAAAAAGCTTGAAAGGAGGACTATGAGAACCATTAAAAGAATAGATGAGAATTATACAATATTGCAGGAAAAGGTTTGAAAAAAGGATAGTTATAAACACATTTTTTGTATGAAAGATTAACTGCATCCTGCCTAAAGCGCCAGCTAAAAGATGTCTTAGAAGATCTCAGGAAACTGTCCAAAAACACTCAGACACCATGAACTGTGGAAAAAAAGTTCATCTGACAGTAAACATTTAAATGCACTACAGTGCAACTTGTAGCAACTGAAATGAATCTGTTTCACTACAATAGCCTTGTCATGGCCACTGAAAAGCAACTGAGAATCAAGCCTTCTCCAAAGCAGCTGCCACTCCAAGAAGTACAGCGATATCCAGAACCATACATAATGAAAAAGGTAATTCAAAGCAGCATGAAAGCTGGTAAATCCTGCAGCAGAACCTAACCTTCTGAAAGAACAGTAAAAAGCAACCTGCCCAACTTCATGCTGACATACTTTTAAGGCAATTATAAAGTGAGAGAGGGCAGGAATATGTACACTACTCTTGTCAAAAGATGGCGTGTTTTCAATAAGGGTTGTATTCAGGCATAGTAGAAATGTTAGAAATTCTGGAGGGTCAACTTCAGTATAAATAATCCAATAAAATTAGATGTGTTTACTAACACTGTCTCAATCAGCCCCTACATCTAGTATTCTATGTGAAACAATGGCTCAGAAGGCTGACATTCCTGTCTACAGCTGACAGCAAACTGAAGATTCATTAATGCAAAGTTAACCTCTGGAGGATCTCTCTGTCATATAGATAGATAGATTGATGATTGATTGATAGATAGATAGATAGATAGATAGATAG